CAAAGCACGCCATGGCACATGGCACACGACACACTGCAGCATCTGGCACGCTCCCCACTTGGCCTGTTCCAGCAGCCCCGACACGTGGCCCACAGGCGCCCTAGCAGCCAGCAAGTCCAGGCTTGATGCTGCCACAGATGAGCTGAGGCTTTGGTGCTGTTGGCATCTGCATGGAGCCAGGAGTGGGCTGGGAGGATGGCTGTGGGACAAGTGGGGAGCTTGTGTGAGGCACGTGTGTGAGCTGCACTAGTGTGAGCTGTAGGAGGTGTGAGCTGCATGGGCACACACAAGCTGCAGGACATGTAGAAGCTGCAGGACATGTAGGAGCTGCAGTGGAGGCACAGGACCTGCCTGACATGAACAGACCTGCACAAGCCACACACACACATACCTGTGGCCCAGCACAGTGGCGTGCGAGAGCCAGGTGCACACAGGCAGCGGAGAGCATGGGACCTCATGTGTATGTGCCCAGAGTGTGTGTGTGGGGGAGGCGCCTGGGGGTGCCCAGCCGGGGTGCAAGGCCTGTGCACGTGCAGGGAGCCAAGGTGAGACACACAGGGGTGCCTGGCAGCCGCGTGGGTGCACACAGGAGCCACAGTGCCATGGAGCGAGCACTGCATGCTGAGGCAGGCCAGGAATGCACATCTGCCCATGCACATGTTCCTGCTGTGGCATTCCTTCTCAGCTCCGTTCACCTCAGGAGTTACGTTTGGGTTGCACCAGTGTGCTGCAGTGGAGCTGAGGCCACACTACAAACACGTGCACCACCACAAAAAGTGAGGCTTGTTCTGCTCCCTGAAAGCCGCCACCACCACCATCCCCTGGCACGAGCAACCTCCCTGTGCCATCCCCTGCTCGGAGGCAGGATCCCCGGTGCACTGCTGGCAGAAGGGGAAACTGAGGTACAGATGGTGGTAGGAGATATATGGCACATGGGCTGCGGTCGCACCACAAACCACAGCTGCCCCGGGAGGCGCAGCTGGAGGTCTGTGGTTTCCTCTTGCCAGTGGCAGCGGTGACAGGGCAGGGGATGAGCCCCACAGGCAGCCCTAGAATGGGCTCCGAGCTCTGCAGCCAGTCCCACGAGGCTGCGGTGTGTTTGCTTCGGAGCCCCCGAGCCTGGTGAGGTTCTGCTGGGCCGGCAATGAGGGTGTCTCTTGGGATACCTCGGATGATCCCGCCACCACATGGCTTTAGGTGGGTGCTGAGGACCCACAAGCTCCTTGCTTTGGTATTTAAAAGCAGCAGGGATTTTATTTTCCACCCTCCTTGCGAAGGGATCAAAGCATTCCCTGTCAATCCTCAATCCTGGCCATTTTTGGTGCATTGGAGCCAAAATTGCTGCTTGCATCTGCTGGCAACAGCTCCTGAATCCCCCTACTTCCACAGCCGAGCACTCGGGGGGTGACAGGCACCAACAGTCCTCCCTGCAGCTTCTTCCACCTTAAGAAAATGAAATGCGAGAAAAGAGGATCAGAAGTGGAGTGTTATGGGGGCCCTGTGGCACTGGGGATGCTCAGAGTGGTGCCATGGTTATTTGCTGGCAGTGGGGTACGGTGAGGGCCTCATACCATGATTCTCCACCACCTCTGGTGGACACAGGCCTGGGGGGTTTGGAATGGATCCTGCTTGGGATGCAGGTTGCCCCAGCGATGGTTGCTATGGAGAACACTTCAGTGGCAAAATTTCCAGCCATATTCATGTGTCCGTCACTGTCTTTGGGAGAGTCCCTGGTGTCCAGCGAGCCAGGTACGGCCAGCTCTGCACCAGGCAGGCTGCTCCTGCTGTGCCTGTGCCCAGCCCCACTTTTCCTGGTGTGAGAAGTTGTTGGAGGAGCCCGAAGTGGAGGTTCAGGGGAGCATAGCAGGCATGCATGGGATAGGGGGAGCAGGTGAGTGGTGCTGTGCCAGGTTAATTGGCTAATTGCTGATTAATGCCCTATCAATCCTGCTATGCCCCAACCCCCAAGACAGGATGTGTTCCAGTGATCCCACATCACGGGCACAGCTCTGGGACAGTGGAACATCCCAGGAAAGGAGGTGGCACTGGCACACTGGAGGGGCTGGAGCTATCCCCAGTGGGAACCAGTGGCTCCAGACAGGGCTGCCTGCTCCTGCCTGCAGCGCTTGCCTGCAGCCCTTGCCTGCAGCCCTGCCAGGGCTGTGCTTTGGAAAGCTGCCTCCCGCCTCCTGGAGCAGCAATAGGATTACACGGGACTGAATCTCCTAGCAATGAACGGAGAAATAAATCCTGTAAGGCAGGACGGGATTTATTAGCTTTCAATATTCTGGAAATAATGAGGACATTTCTCTTGGCTTGTATTATCATGGGACCCAACAGGATCACAACAAGGGTTTATCCCCATGCCTCTCCATGCTGCTAGGTCGGTTTTAAGCTGCAGAGACCGCTTTGGCTTTCCAGGGAGCAGGATGGTGAGAGCAGGATGGCAGGGCACCCCTCATCTCTTGAAATGCTGAGGTGGAGCGTGGGCCTCAGGCTGACCCAACAGTAGCGGCTCTGTTCATCTCCCTGTTCATTCCCTGGTGAGGGCTGGGCTGTGCCACCGCTGCCAGCTGAACTTTAACCAGTGCCAGCACCCACCAGTATGTGAGAATGCCGCGAATGGGGACCCTCAGATGAGTGGGAGACCCACAAACCACCCTGTTACTCCCCGTTAGTCCTGAACTCACTGCAGCCACACTATGCTGCTGGATGGGTCATCGCTGCAGGGAAAAGAGGTGGGAGAGGCTGAAAGCAGCAACTTGGGGAGGAGGATGTGGTGCCCCCAGCTTCACCAGCCCTTCCCAGCACCAGGTCCCCATGGGGAACTGCTGTCCCACAGCAGGCAGATGCCTCTTGAGGCCAGCCACGCTTTGCCCCATGGCAGCCTGGCCAGCCCAGAAGCCCACAGCAGGCCTGGGGATGGCCCGGCAGGGCCCTATGGGATGCCCTTTGAGAGCCAGGCATATGTTCCTGCATCCCTGCCACCTCAGCAGCTGTAAATGCATACCATTCCCTGCCCTGTAGCAGGCTCCCTTGGGCAGCCTCCCCAAACCCCACTGAACAGCTCCATAACGGTTTCACTGCTCTCTGGAGCATGGCCCCTGACTGACGGGGCACACAGACACAATCATTGCCTTGTCTGGGGCCCAGCCACACAAGGGGCCCCTTCAGGCAGGCAGGGAAGGGGGAGCTCCTCAGGGCGAGGTGATGCTCGGGGCCATGAGGGACTCCTTGTAGTGCCAGAGTTATCCCTAGCAAATGCCCCGGGTGGGTTCTGTCCCACAGAGGACACATCAGCTTACTGCAGAGGATGGCTCAAGGTGGGAACATCTCAGAAGAAGGAGCTGCATCTCCTGGGAGCTTTGCTCCTTCTAGGCTGAGGGGGATGCTGAGGGCTGGCCAGGACCGGGGCCACCCCCCTTCGTGGGAAGGCGGCTGGGAATGGAAAGAGCAAGCTGGGGGGGGTGGGGGTTGGATTTCTGTTTTTCCTTCCTAAGCAGCCAAGCTGTGTTTTCTGGAGACCTGTAAATCACTCCTCGTCTTCAGGAAAGAGAGGCAATGAATACATGATCCAATCAAGCAAAAACGTGGGACACTCGGGAGCACACGCAGAGGAAGCCAGGAATCAGCCCCAGGCTGAAGCTGCCTCTGGCTGTCCCACAGAGCCCGTCCCAGCTTGCTGGGCCAGGAGCTGGTACCGCAGCCTGGCTCACCTCCAGGATTCTGGGAGTGGGAGCCCAGCAGAGAGGGGAGCCGAGGCTCTTGGCCACTGCCATGGATCTGCGCTTTTCCAGCAGGTCAGGTTGCTTCCAAGACTTTAAAATTTTCCACATTTGTTCAGCTGAAGAGAAAGCAAAACCCCAGAGAAGAGAGGCTGGAGAGTTTCTGGAGAGCAGAGCTGGGGCTGGCAGGCAGGGTCCTGTGAACTGGGGGTCACTCATTTTCCCAGTTTACCAGCGTGCCCACGGAGGCTGCGCTGCCTGGATCCCATAAACACACTGTTAGTGTGTGTGGAAATCCAAAGCCATCCCCCCAAGCCACCCAGAGCCCACTGCTGCTGCAGGGCCCTCTCTGGACCCAGCCTGGAGCTCTTTAAGGCTTTTAAGAGTGGGGCTGCCTTTGGTGCCTCTGAGTTCTCCAGAGGTTTCCCTGTTGCATCTGCCAGCCAGGAGAGCTGAGCTGAAACCTCCCCACAACAGTGCCCTGGATGGGGACTCCAGTTATTTTTGCAACCAGAACCAAAGCAGCAACTGGTTTGGGAGCATTTGGAGACAAAAACATGTCATCACCGCCTTGTTTTGTGTCCAATTTCAGGCTCGTTGAAGCAGGTCTGTAACAGCTGATTCTGTACAGAACACACTGCGGCTCCCCCCAGCACATGGTGTTTTGTTCTCATCTATCCTGCAACATGGTCACAGAGCAAGGGCTGACTCAGCAGCTGACACATGAGCCCAAAGCTGAGACCATGCTCAGCACTGTGGGCAAGGGTCCAGTGCAGCATCGCTCACTCTGTTAGCAGGAAGGATGGGGCTGGTGTTGCTTTTCCCCCTGGCACAGCACCAGCACAGGCTGCCCACCAAGCAGGCTCCTAGCATCCCATGGGGAAAGGTACCTCTACTCCAAGGACCTGTACTGGACAAACACTGGGAACTGCTAAACTCAGCTCCAGACCAGAGGGACGGCAAGATGACGGTGTATTGCTGGCCTCCAGCTCCATCTGCTCCACACCCAGGTGCCTTTGTCTGCCTTCCCAGGCAGGAGGGACATTCACTCACTGAATGTCCCTCTGTGGCTGTGCTGTGGGAGATTCCTCACTCCTGCAGCGTCATTACAGTACAACTACGTTGTCCCCATCAACCCCCATTTCTAGGGATTTAATCCCACCTCTGAGCAGGGATTTTCACTATCACTATCACACTCCTTACTGTATGCAACTGTTAATTTCTCTGTCCTCTGCTTCCTGCACAAGCCACATAAACCAGCATGCACGAGTGTCAGGGTGGAATACTTTATTCATGTGAATGCTCAGATCCTGGCCCATCCTGCCTGCTGCAGCTGCTCCCATCTTCTTGACAGCATGAACAAGGAAGGATTTCTTCATCGGCTTGCTTAACCCCTCCACAGCATCATCAGACCCCACAAGCAAGTAGAGACAGTTCGGCTTTGCCCGGGCAAGAGCACAGCGTGGTGGGGCAGAGAGGCTGTGGGGCTGGCAGGGCGGGGAGAAGGGCTCTAGCATACATCTTGTGTATGCACAGCACCCATTAAACCTCCCTGCAGCTCCACTCTCAGAGCTGAATATTCCAGCACCCTCCTAGCCTTGGTGGTTCCTCCTACTGCCAGAAGCAGCTAGGGCTGGCAAAGGATGGGTGCCACCATATCTTCTCCATGGAAAGCTGCTGGCAGAATCACGTACTTCTATCACCTTCTGGGCCATTTAACCCTCAAAGTGCCCCCTGCCCACTGACAAATACCCTCCCCAAACTATTGCAGTAAAAGGAAAAGCCTGTACATTGAGCCATACAGGCTGAGTCTTGGGTAGAGAACGTTTCCGTGCTCGGTGGTCCAGCGGTGGCTGGCAGCCCCCAGCCAGCACTCGGGCACAGAAGGGAGCAGGATCCCCTGCAGCCATACACAGCACTTAGGGCTTCATCCTGCTCAGTCTGAGATCACGTTCGATTTCAAACTGCCTGTGATCCACACGCTCCAGGAATGCTTTCCTCTCGATGTACCTGCAGGGAGGCAGAGGCTGTTAAGTAGTGCCTGTAGCAGCCAGCGCTGTCCCCGGCTTGGGGGTGTAGCTGACTCAAAGCTAGGAGCAGGGAGGGAAGGCATCATCTGCTTCCCTCACTGTCTCTCCATGAGTTGATCACTGCACTGAGTGTTTCCCACAGACACCAGAACTGCTCTGTGGCCTGTTGGGTGTCTCCTTATGAACTCGCAGAGGTCTGGGGTGAAGGGATCTTGCAGGCTGGAGATACAGACTGGCTGCTTCTGGTTCCTCTAGTGGCTGAGAAATCACAGAACCCTAGAATGGTTTGGGTTGGAAGGGACCTTAAAACTCACCCAGTTCCAACCCCCTGCCATGGGCAGGGACACCTTCCACTAGACCAGGCTGCTCCAAGCCCTGTTCAACCTGGCCTTTAACACTGCCAGGGATGGGGCAGCCATAGCTTCTCTGGGCAGCCTGTGCCAGGGCCTCACCACCCTCACAGGGAAGAACTTCTGCCTAAGACTCATCTTAATCTCCCCTCTGTCATGTCAATGGTTAAAGCCATTCCCCCTTGTCCTGTCCCTACAGGCCCTTGTCCAAAGCCCGTCTCCAGGTTTCTTGTAGCCCCTTTAGGTACTGGAAGCTGCTCTAAAGTCTCCCCTTAAGGAGCCTTCTCTTCTCCAGGCTGAACAAGCCCAGCTCTCTCAGCGTGGCTCCAGCCCTTGCAGTATGTCTGTGGCCTCCTCTGGACTCATTCCAACAGGCCCACATTGTTCTTGTGTTGGGGGTCCCAGAACTGGACACAGTATGTCCTTCACAAACAACTTGAACGGGCTCAGAGCAGGTCCTTGGCAGAGAGGCAGCTCTGATGCTCCTCCTTCGTGCCCAGGTGACCCTGTAAAGCATCTCAAACCGAGCCACAGCAGCACAAGCCACAGTACAAGCCGGTAATGGGCACAGGGAACATTAGAGACACAAACATCACCCAGCAAGCCTGCAGCAGCTCAGTGATTCAGGCCAGGGGTTTCCCTGCCACAGACCAGCTCCTAACCACTGCTGAGCATTTACTTCTCCCTCTCAGCACAGCACCTGAGTGCTTCAAGGAAGAAGGCAAGCACGCCTGCATGTGGAAAAGCACCTTACCGCTCATTAATGGCATGCAGATGAATTTTAATGTACTTTGCTGAAACCCTTGCCACAGACAGCCCGGGGCTGTGCTACTAATTAACCTACAGAGGGAGCGAAATTGCAATTCAAAACAGGAGCTGTAATTGAATCATCACAATTGTTTTGCATTTGTTCCAGGGCAGCAAGCACTTGGCCGTCATGACAAGGTCATTATGCTCCACGCGTTTGGCTTCTCTGTGCTGGTCACTGCTTTTCCTGCAGCTGGTGCCTGCTAACCAGAGAACCCCACTACTTGAAAGCAAGACTGAAGGCTGCAGGGAAGATGATCATCTCTGCAGATTTTCCAGGCTCCAGGGTGGCTGGCAGTGTGCACAGATGTGCCTAAGACCCACCTGCATGGGAAGGCTGAAGCCTCTTCCCACCACCAGCAGCGGTCCCTCTAGGACAGAAGGGCTCCACTACCTTTGGTGATGAGGTCTCTGCTTGATGTTACATCTATTGAGCCAGCACCGAATGTGCTCCAGCACCAGAGTGTCTTCGCCCTTGCTGTAAGAGACAGCTCTGACACTCCTGCCCACCCAGGCATCACTGGAAATGAATTAATCCAAATTAACCAGCAAATGATTCCCCTGAGCAGATGAACAACCCTGTGCATCCCTGCTGTCACCCTATGCCCCATCGCAGCTAACACAACTGGGTCAGCTCATCTCTGCTGTGTGAGGGCAGGGGTATAGTGTAATGCAGATGATGTGCTGGCTGTGAGGAGGTATTTTTTTGCCCCACTCACTGTCAGAGTTGGGCTGAGCACCAAGGCTCCCTCCCCATGCTGATTCAGGAAAGGCAGGCAGGGGAGTGTTGCTTCCCTTCATCCCCACAAGCAGGGAGGTGGGGCCGGGCTTGGAGAGGCCACAGGAAGGAAGTCGGAGGGGTCACATTGGATATTGGTGTGTCATATTGCTGGGTGTGTGGTTTTCCTCCTCCTCTGCCACTGAACACCAACCACGACCACAGCCGGGAAGGCAAGGGACAGGGATTTCTACTGGCAACCTGGGAACATCCTGACTGCTTGGGCACCAACACCCCGAGCTACTGAATTTGAAGCTCCTCAAACCCCTCTGCAACACCCTTCTCCCAACCCCAGCAAGAGGTCAGTGCCTTCCTCTTCCTCCTCCTCCTTGGCTGCTGTGTCTCTGGTGGGCAGCGACTGGCTCCTGCAGGATGGATACGGATCCTGAACCAGGAATGCAGTCTCACTGCCACAGCAGTGCTCTGCATGGAGGAGGTTACCCTGTGGCGTTGTCCTTGGCCAGCCACTGAATAGCACCGTAGGGGCTGGAGCAGACCCTGCAGGGCACTGCCTGTCCATACACAGGGGTTTATGGGGCTGGCAGTCTGGGAACAAGTCCAGCTGGCTGTACAGCATGCACACAGAGGCTGAAGGTGCTGATGGACACAAGCAGGGAAGCAGCAGCTCTGCAAGGGTGGCACAAGCACCCTCTGCACCCTAAACCCTGCGCCCGAGCTGCAGGTCCACCGCCGTTTCCCAGCCTGGCTCCGTGCAACCGACAGCAAGGCCGTGCCAAATGGCAGTGTAATGAGCACGAGTGAGGCACAAACACCCGTCCTGTGCTTGTCTAAACAACCTTTGCTACCTGAATCAATAGTTTCCTGTAAATTATCAGCCTGTGTGGAAACAGGGCAGCTTGATCCACAGTGGAGAAAGGTGAATTTGTGGGGAGAAGAGGCTGTCCCTCCTAACAAGGACAGCTGCAAACTGCTCTGGGAAGAGTTTCTCTGATGCTGCCTCTCCCCTGCCAGGCACCCACGAGCACACAGGGCTGGCCCAGAGCTGCTCCCCACTGGGCCTGCCCTACAAAGGTGGCCCAATTAAGAGGCCACTCCAGATTTCCATTTATAAAGCTCATCAGAGAGATCAAAAGCAAAGGGGACAGCTGCCTCTGCTCCTTACTTCACCCTCCTGTCAAATCCAGGACAGGCCTCAGGATCTGACACAACCTGCACAAACCCGGATCCTGCTGCAGGGGCAATGCAAATCACTGTATGTGGCTGGTGATTGATAAGAGGGGTGGAAAATCAGAGGCCGAGGTGGACACTGCCATGAGGCAGCACACATTCCTTCTGCCTCTGGAATCTGGGGCCAGGTTGCAGCTGGCTGATAAGCAGCAGCAGCAGCAGAAACATGCCATGGCCCCAGAGAAGGTTCTAGAATGTCCGAGGCACAAGGAGCTCTGGGCTGTGAATAGCAACTTCTGCAAGGCTACCAGAAAAAAGAAATTCAGCCTGCCTTCCCTTCTGAGCAAAAAATAAATGCCTCTTGTGTTCCTCAAGACATGCATGGATCATCCCTGTACTGTGCAGGCATGCGTGGCATCTGGCAGACAGCTCCAGGAGCAGGTTGTGGTTGTTGTGGTCAGGCAGACGGTTAGTTACAAAGCAGGACAGAGGTTTCTAATGCATTTCAGGGATTAAAGGCAGTGCCCGCTCCCTCCTGCCTGGGTTGAAGGGTTAACAACAGCTCATTACAGTTTTTATAGAGATAGGTAAATGATTGCTCACTGAAGGCTGAGAAGAGCCTATGTTATTAGAGGAGAAGAGGTGGCTGTGGAAGGGACAATAGGCTTTCCTGAAAAGTGACCTGAAGCAGGCAGCAGTGGTGTCTGTGTGCTCTGCCCCCCGAGCAGGCTGGCTGCTCTGTAACTGTGCAGCACACCTTGAAGGTGGAAGTAATTCATAGTGAGCAGGTACTCAGTTGATCCCCTCACATTACATGCCTGACTGGCGCAAATAGATTCATAAAGAGTGGCTAAAATTAGCACATCTCAAATGTTTCTCATTAGTTTAATGACAAAACCTGCTTAACAATAAAGCCCAGCAGATTTTCTAGCCTGGGATGACAGGCAGCAAAACCTAAAGCTGTCCAGGCTTACAGATGGTCTTTAAAATTGCTGCTCTGCTTTGCTCATCTTTTCAACATGCTGATCCCTTCTTCAGCCTTCATTATGTCAGTGTCTCCAGAAAGGTTTGTTAGATGTGAAAATCAAGCTGTCCTGCTTGTATGGAGTGGGAAAGGAAACAGCTCTGCCCAGGGAAGGTCAATATACTGGGTTTGAACAAACAAGAGATGCCACAAAACACTCATGCAGGGCAGACTGGCTTGTCTGGGGTGTGTACAGTCCAGCTGAGGGTCACGGACCCTAATGCAGGCTGATTCCACTGGCTGCGGAAAGAAATGGTGTGTCCCAACACTTCGAAGGAGATGGTCTGGCTTTTAATGACAGTACTACCACCATCAGCCCAATCCAGAGCAGTGAAGGCGCAAAGCTGTTGTTACCACATTTGGCACCCACAGAGGACATCTGCACAGGGCAAATTCTTACTCCACATCCCATCGGGACAAGCCAGCCAGGTGCCACAGACAGAAACAGGACCCTGCTTTTTGCAGGCTGCTTTGTGAGAGCCCATCTTCCTCCTCCATCTCAGAGTCTGGTACACGGCCTGGCTCTGCCTCCAGACTCCTGGCATGGGCCATGTCAATGGGGCCTTGTGTATGGGGCTCTGACCGCAGTGTCAGCCATGCTGCAGACAGCATCAGCAGTGATCTGGTGCTCTGCCACACCTGTTCATGATGTAAATCGCTCAACAACTTGGATTTGGGGGATGTCTCAGGAACACCAGACCCCCTCCAGCACTCCTAATGAATTGCTCTATTTGTGCAAGGGAAGAGTTCAGAAACCCATCAGGGCAGATCTGATGGAGTAAGGGTGTTGTGGAAGGGTTCAAGACCAAACTGAAAAAACACAGCAATTAGAAAGTACCTATTTGAAATATAAACTCCAATGTGTTGGAATGCAGAAGCTCTGAGATTTTTCTGCAGAGTAAAAGAACAGCTTAAAATAAAAATACGTTTTATGAGCTGTCCACTAAGCCAGTTATCTTTTACCAGAGCTTAGCAAAGCAGCTGTAGTGGAAACACCACTTCTGATCTTATTACCCTTCCCTGCAGTGCATGTTATTAGCTGTCTGTTTTATTTACAGCATCACCATTTACTTTTACGATACCTCCATTAACTTCATTGGAGTGAACATTGCTTGATGCACACAATCAACACCCAGTGCTGCCATAATCTTTAATGCACCTTGCCAGCTGTTCTGCGTTTGGAGGAGGAGGGAGGACAGAGGCAGCTGGAATGTGTCACTTGAAGAATGGAACAAAGAACATACTTCCCAGTTTGAGACAGGGCAAAGGCAATTGTGTTTCCTCATGGGAATGCTGTGTTAGACCGGTTCCTGCTGTAAATGTGCTACTAGCAAAAAAGAAGATAAAGCACAATCAGACTCTACTTTAGCTGGACATGGGTTGGAAAGGATCTTAAGATCACCTAGTTCCAGCTCCCTGCCACGGGCAGGTACTCCTTCCACTAGATCAGGTTGCTCAAGACCCCATCCAACCTGACACTGAACACTGCCAGGGATGGAGCATTATTGACTTCCTTGGGCAGCCTGTTCCAGTGTCTCACCACTGTCACAATAAAGAATTTGTTCCTTACATCTAACCTAAATTTCCCCTGTTTAAGTTTGAAAGAACTCACCAGTTTGTTAGCAGAGTGATAGGTGGTTGCAGGCTTACCTGTCTCCCTGTGATACCTAGAGCAGCTACTGCTTTTATATATCCCAAGAATAAATCTTTGGTAAATCTCACAGATTTGCTGAACTCTCTCTGTAGCAAGTGATATAGGAAGTGGTGGGAAATGCTGGACTACTATTAGGCCTCTTACCCATCTTTCCCTCGATTATGGATTGCCAGCTCCTCCACAATCCCCTCCTCCTCCTTGAAGTTCTCCCAGTCCAGTTTAGATTTCTCCAGTGTGCTCATCTTCTGCTTTTTGGAGCCAATTTTCCCCAGGAGGCTGCTCATACCACTTGGCCTCTTCACCCTAATGGAGATAAGGGAGCAAATGTCACTTAAAAGCAGGGAGAGAGCAATTAAAACGGACCTGAAGAATGTCACGCGTGAGAGTGGTGACCTTGATGGTGGTGAGCAACTGCTGCTAAACAGATGGACACCAATTTCAGGCAGCCTGGAGGCAGCAAGGTCATGCTTCCTGGAGATCCTGCTCCCCCGTTCCCCTGGAAGCAGCAGAGTTCATTAGACACATATCTCAAGTGCTTGCTTTTTGTAAAAGGGCTTTTTCATTTATCTTCTTAAGAGAACAGAAAGCTTTCAGGCCAAAAGAGATCATTAAATCATCTAGTTTGACCCCTTGTATATACCAGGCCAAGCCATTCCACTGATCACCTCCGTGCTAAGCCCAGCTCATTGTTTTCAGTTTAAAGTGTTGTTTTCTGGAAGGGATCCAGCCTCAGTGCGTCACCAGCACTGACAACACATCTATGAATTAACCATTTTGTTAGTATTAATGCATCTGTTTTGAACTTAATTTTGTCTAGCTTTAGGTTCAGGTTGCTGCTGCTGCTTATTCTAAATTTAACAGTACTTTGGAGCCCAGGTGGGCCTCATTAATAACATGATCATACACCATAATGACTTTACATCTGAATTACCATCTCCTAGCTCCCTGTTTAGCAGGAGACCATCTTGGTCTTTCATCTCCTTGCTTCTAGAGTACTGAAATCCTACCCATGTGGCAGGGCCTCCAAATCTCCTCTTTATGCTGGGAAATGCACACACGGGGACTCAGGTCAGCCAGGTTGTCCTCTAAGGAAGACAATTCCCAGGGCTAGGAACTGGTAAAACAAACTGGTATTAACCCTTCGTAAACTCCCCCAGGAGAGGGGGGCAAACAGCATCCCATTGAACTCAGTGTTTACACACATTCCAGAGATAACTTCAGGTCTGCAGGGCCTTTCCCTCTGCAAGATGCCGGAGAGGAAATGATTCTCGTTCCTGAGAGATGGAGGAATTTGGGGAGGGGGGCCTACAGAAGGGAAGGCAGCCAGGTGAGCACGGCAGACTGCTCTCCATCAGTACTCTCCAAGCACAGTCCTGCCCAGAGGTAGCTGTTCTTGGGAACATATCCAAAGCTGTCCTTATTGGATCATTAGCATGGTTTATGCTTCCATAATTTGCAAGCCTCTAAAGGAAAATAATTCTGTAGTTTATATGGAATTAAATCAAAGAAAATGGCGTCTTTTAAAGCCTCAGCCAGAAGATTCTCAATGCAAGAATGGCTGCCCATAGTCACTTGGGGTTGCAGCTGCCTGATAAGAGATATACTTGGGCTACAAACCCCAGATTAAGGGCATCTTGGCAGGCTCTATAGCCCCTGGACGAAGATACTTGCCCCTCCTCATATGCCCAGCCAGAGGAGCAGAAATAGCCTAGGACCTGGCTTTCTTCTCTCTTCCAGTCCCTGCCCACTGCAGTGCCAGCCAGCACTTTTCACTCTGCAGGGACACAGAGAGACCTGGGTGCACTTTTATCTCTGAATGTTTCATCAAGATGTTTACAGCCCTTCACATCATGATCATGCAATAAAACCTTGATCCTCACTCAGCCTCCGATTCTCCCTTTCCTTTTGAGACATGATGGCTTCAAGTATCCTTATCTGCAGGTAGCAGGAAAGTGATGCAAGGGGGGCAAAACGTGCAAAGATCTTCCCAGCACAAGGTAACACAGGAGAGATTCGGTTCCCACATCTGGTCATCCAGGACTATACAAGAGCCTTGCACAACCACCAAGCCCAGCGTCAGATGTATGTTCATGTTGGGAGGGAGTGGGAGGAGAGGAGATATGACAAGGAAGAAGGCAAAATCAAACAAAGTATCAGGCAAGCATCCCCTGTGGTATTCCCTGCTGAGCAGTCACCTGGACGGCAGAGCCTGGTGCTTGTGCACAGCAGCTCCTTACTGGAAGGACTTGGGGTTTAGGATGAGACTTAAAAGTAAAGATGCCCTGAGACAGATGTAAAGAAGTGCTAGGGCTGATCCAGCTGTCCAAGCCTGTCCAAGCCTGGCAGGCTGAAGGTGTTTAAATTAACACAAGGAAGGTATTCAATAACGCATTTCTCTGAATGCACTTAACTTTTCAGACACACTTGTGCTTACAATTTTGCCAACCTTGAAGTGGGAGAAGCAGAGGTGCAGAAGTGGAGGGTGTTGTCCCTTGTCCCTAGAAGTCTCATAAGTGTTTTTTTGGGCAGAGAACCCCAATGGCATGAAAGCCATCTCAACATCTCACCTGCATCCACCAACTCTTCTGCAGGTGGAAGCCTACAGCCAACCATACAGCTGTACCAGAGACAGGCCTGTCGGTGCATAAGACACAGCACACACCTGGAAAACCCACTTGAAGCTGTTTCAAGATCTCTCCTGGATGTTAGAGAAATGCCTGCCCTGAAGAGTGACAAGCAGGCGCAGAGGCAGGCTCACACATGCTGAGACTGATGCCTTTTCTTCTGCTCCTCGGGCTGCCATCTGCCAAGAGGAAGAGCCAAGTTGGGACAGGGGCCAATCAGCCAGGCTGGGCTGCCACACATGTCCCTGCATGAAACACAGACTGGGACATGCTTACAGGCAACTGCTGTCCCCAAACCAGAGTGGAGGATATACAGGAGAGAAGGAAACCAAAGGCAAGATGGTTCATGGCCAGAGGTGGAAGCAGCAGTGGTGCTGGCTTCACAGCAGGGAGCTGGAGCTACAGGCTGCATGCTTGTCACACACCTTTTCTTCCATGGTAATTCCTGGCATAAATTAACGTCTACATGCACACATCTGTAACAGTGCTCAAGGCCTCTGTATCTCCTCCTGGCCATGGGTCTCAGGACCACACTTTAAAAGAGACAATTCATCCCATGTTTGAAGCTACAGAGTCTAGGTTACGAACATGGACCTCCACCAAATGCTTCCAGATAGCCACAAGAATACTTGCAAGTCAACAGTTCCTTCAAGGCAAGGGAACCTGACCAAAAAGGGCAGGCTATGTCACACGGTTGTGTTGATCACTATTCCAAAAACACTGCTAATATCTGGTGTCAGCTCCATGCTGGAGATGGGCCCTGGGCTGAATGACTCAGCTCTACTCCTGCCCCAACAACTCTTGGTCATGTGCTGTTTGCAGCAGGACTAGGCCTGGGCCAGGTAATGAGATGAGGTCAGGCACTGGCTGAAGGACACGTTCGAGTCTGCTGCTGAGTCTTCTCGCCATGCTGAGCCTTTCATCACCCTGAAAAAACCCAGCAGCAAACTTGAGGGTGGGAATTACTCTTGTGCCAAAATGAAGTAAATGAGAAACATTAAAGTCCAATTAAAAACTTGCTTGGCCTTAACTGCCTCATCCATTTAAAAAGCAAGTAAAGGGGCCTGATTAATTGCATTCAGTGCCAACAGGAGGAATTATTACCCTTTTTGTACTCATTAAGGGTATCTGCTGTGGCATCTTTAATCACTAAGGTATTTAAAAGAGAGAAAGTAATTTGCGAAGACATAATGGATCCCAGGGATGAGGATCAGGACAATCACCCATTTAGGACACAAAGACAAGCTCTTCCTTTCCACGACTAAAAAGCATAGCCAAAGTCAGCACGTGAGCCAATAAATCAACATGCTGGGGAGCTCTGCCTTGGTGGAGGGACTCCCTTGCACCCATCTAATGTCTTCACGACAAAGACCATGTCTGTGTGTCACCTGGTGTGGTTGCACACAGGGACAAGCAGGAAGCCAAGGGCTCCCTTGCTCTCCCAGCATATCCGAACACACTCTGTGTTTCTGTCCTTAACAATGAGCCTGCAGCCCAACCAGGACCTTGGAAAATGGCTGCTATACCAATGATAAAGTGTCACTGTCACATATAATCCCTGCTGTCTTGTAAGGTTGGCAGCGTCTAGGAAATGCATGCCTGCCTCCAAGGAGGCAGACTTCATCACAGGCTTTATAAAATAATCTTCAAGCAATAGGAAGACAGGGCTACAAAGGTCTCGTAGCGCATCCTGCCAGCCAAAGCAAAACGAGTTCCAGAGATAGGTGCTCTGAAGGCCTCCTGACACCAACCCTACACGCAGTAGAGGTTTCAGGACTTTGTCAGCCTTTCACTTATGTTAAGTTTTCTGCAATGACTAAATTTCCTTGCTCAGCCTATGACTGGTTATCTTCTTCCTAGTAGCTACTAAGAACAGCTCATTCCCTCACTTTTTGCAGCAGCCTTTTATGTCTTTGAAAGCTTTTCCTATCTCCCCCCTTGCTCAGCTTGCTCCTCACCAGACTAAACAATCCCAGCTTTTCTCATTCCTCATAGTTTCCAGCCCTCTGACCACTCTTGCTGCTCTCCCCGAACTCTCTGCTGTTGGCCCACATCTTCCTCGAAATACAGCATCCAAAATGGGAAAGAAAGGGCCCCAAGCCATGGCTTTACCGGCAGTGGGAGCAGGAGGAATACTTCAGATACCTTGGGAAGCATGCAACTCCTTACATGGCCTCCTATGACATGTGCCTTTTCACAACCGTGTGACAGCATTGACTCATGTTGAGCCTGTGAATCACTGAGCTATCTGTGAGCTCTGCTGCTGCCAAGCCAGTTATTTCCTTCCTTGATCCATGCAGATGATTATTGCTACATAAAGGCAGAGCTTTGCACTGGTCCTTCTGTGCTGTTCCCCCTGTTTGCCCTCACATTTCCCTTGACACAGCAGATCTCGTGTGTCTTCACAAACAGCCTCTGCCATTCACAACACCCATGCTGCAGCAGTTGAAGAGTACCAGTGGGGGAAGTACCCACGGAGACAGTTTAGCAGCTGAAGCAGCATCAGTTGGCCACAAAAGACCAAGCTGATAGTCAGAAGCAGGCAGGGACCAGCAGCAGATGGCAGGAGTAGCTGTGACAGTTCATGCTGTCCAACTCCAATAAGCAAAGGGTGCCCACAGGACAGGTACTCATGTGCTGATCAGGGAGCCAGCAGCATTCACAGCTCCAGCCTGACCT